CAGCAAGACTCCTGGGTTCATATCGCACCCCAACACTTGTCAGGGGTGTGACCTTGAGTCCATTCTCTTTATCTATACACTGGGCCTGGGACTGTCCTCTCTGCTCAGGGTTCTTGAGCCAGTCCCATTACGCACTGGCAGGACCCTCAACCGACATGTGCTCCCGACTGAGCACTGAATCTCCATTTGTACAGGGCTGATAAGGTGACCCCCAATGCCAGCAGGACCGCCCAGGAGAGTCTGGGTAAATTCCCCAGTGCCCTAGGCCTCAGGCCTCCCAGCTCAGGACCCTGAGGGGGCCTTCATGATTCACTCAGGTGTTCTGTCTCCTATCCCAGAGGCTGTGGGCCAGCAGGGACCATTACAGGCTCCCTTTGCCCTCCCTGCTCGTCGGCCATGGGGAACTCTGCCCCCCCCGCCATCCTTGCTTGTCCCCATATCAAGAAGCAGAGTTCCTTGTGCCCTGCTGACCACCTGCAGCTGGCCCTGTTTAGAGAGAGGCCCCGGGAGCTGCTGATGGGCACCGTGTCAGAACCAATTGGTGTGAAGGACCTGGGACCAATTGGTGTGAAGGACCTGGGGAGACCGCGGGTGAGGGCCGGTTCCCCACAGGAGGCCTGGAAACCCGCAGGCCCAGGCACGGTTACGGGAGTAATTGATAGAATCATCACCAACGCCTGGGACGAAGACGAACACATTTTTAACATCATAACCTCTGGAAGACAGGACTCAATTTTCTCCATCTTCCAGCCACCAAACTAGCCGGCTTATTGATGGCGAGACACCAACAGTTCGGTGAGGAATGCAAGGAAGCCAGGGTCATTTTTCAGCACACAGGCTGCTTGCCAAATGGCCCGGGGGGGGGGGGGGGGGGGGGGGGCTCCCCCCTCCCCCTTCCCCCGGCATCCCGCTGCTCCCTCCTGGCAACCGAGAACCTCAGGCTGGTGAATCACTCAGTGGACGAAGCGCCAGGCCTCGCCAGGACCTTTGTCTGCACTGGGTGCATTAATAATTGAAGGTGCTGGCCTGGGGTGTGTGTGTGTGTGTGTGTGTGTGTGTGTGTGTGTGTGTGTGATGGGATGGGAGGTGGGAGTGGGGGGTGGGCTGCTGCAGGGGGAGGCTTCCTGGGGCTCCTGTCGGGATCCATACACCTACCCCATCTGGACCACTTCTCCCCGTGACAGCGAAGCCCCTAGCACCAGAGGATCGCACCCCTCCACCTCCCAATAGGTATGGGTGAGACTTAAGGCAGGGCTTCCTAATCAGGCTGGAGCTTATTAAAATGCAAATTCCAACATCCTGTCAATAACCCTTTTGACCACTGGCCTTGGGGGGGGATCACTATTGTAACAAACTCCCTGGGGGTTTCTGAGGGTCTGCAGAGATCCTCACAAAGACCTGTCTTGTAATCCCAGTGACTTGGGAGGCTGAGGCAGGAGGACAGCAAGTTCAAGGCCAGCCTCAGCAACTTAGTAAAACCCTGTCTCAAAATGAAAAATAAAAAAGGGCTGGGAATATAACTCAGCAATAAAACACCCCTGGTTTCAATCCCCAGAACCAAAAAATCAAAACAAACAACATAAAAAAATAAAACATTTTTTAAAAAGAAAGAAAGAAATGAAACCCACCTCGTGGACACCTGCCCTGGATAAAATCTGGAAGGAACACTAGACAAGGAGTCCAGGCCGGCAGCCTGTTTTTAAGGTGCACGTGGCCTCAGCAAGATCTGTCAGCTTTCTGAGCTGCTGTTGCTTCTTGGTGAAAACTGCCGCTTTGACAGTTCCCCGGGGAGCTGGAGGGGGTGTGCTTGGATCAGGGCTGTGCCGGGGAAGAAGTTTGTCACAGCTTTGGGCCAACCTGCCTCCAGGCTGCCTGGAGAAGGCAGGTCCTGAACCACCAGTCACCTTCCCTCTGACATGGCTCTCCCACTCTCCATACAGACTCTGTGACCTTGGACAAATCAGTGACCCCAGCACCAGCCTCAGTTTCCTCCTGTGCCCAATGTTCTCCCAGGAATGACTGCAGCCCGACTGAGTCCATGCTGGTAAGGAGCTTGGTGGCACCTTGCACATAGTGACAAATGTGAGCTCCCTTTCCTCCCACCCTGCTGTGCTCTTGGCAATGAGCTATCCCTTTCTGATAAGGAAAATCAAAACAGCTGCCATTTCCTGAGCACCTACTAGGTGCAGCCCCCAACCATCACTACTGAGCCTCCAAAGTCGACACCTTGAGAACCACACACCACTCGTTCCTCCTGCCTTTACAAAGCCCTCTTTGAAGGGGGTTGAGTGGAGGTAGGAGGGAGATGGGAAGCAAAACAGATGTCCTTGCTGACCCACCTGACTGCAGGCTCTCCCTGTGACAAGCCCCAGGGCAGGCGGTGGAAGGCATTTGCCTGGTACCTGGGCTGGGCTCAGGTGGAGTTGGGGCGCTGAGCAGCCGACCTAGCGTTGGGGTCAGTGAGCTCCTCTCCAGGAGTCCCTGCTTCCAGCCCCCACCCCAACCCCAGAGAGACACCTTTCCCGACCTGACCACATTTCCCGAATCAGCTGAGGACACATGCAGCCCAGGAATAATGAAACGATCAGGCTCCAATCTGCTAAACAGCAATTTCGGAGCTTTTTCAGCACACACAGCTTTTATCAAATTGGTATTCTCCTCCTGAACACAAATGGCTTATTAGACATGACCCACTTATTCGCTGCGTCTCACTATCATTAATAACAGTTTCTTTTTGTGATTAAGTGAGTGGCTCCAGACCCTTCCTGTGGCGGCGGGTGCTTGGCCCAGCACAGGGGTAGCTGTGAGGGCTCCTCGGCAGCCACTACTTGGTGACTTTGAACCTGGCAATGTCGGGGGAAGGCAGCCTGGCTCCTGCAGAGCAGCCTGGCCTCCTAATTTCTTGAAGGACAGAGGGGGAGTTTCAAGCGGGGCCACTCACTTGCCCAGAGATGCACATGGGGTCCAGAGAGAAGCCGGCTTCCAGCCCCTCTCCATGGAGCCCCTCCCCTGCTTCAGCCGGACTGCTCAGGATGCCGATGGGAGACTGCAGTTAGGGGGGCAGAGCTGTGCCCCCTCACCATACATGGCATCAGGGGGCAGGCAGAGCCTGTCACACAAAGGGCAGAGCCTGCTTCCTTGGGAATGAAAGACCCATGAGTCTGCTGCCCCAAAGACAAGATGACCATAAACCTAGGAGCTCCAGGGCTCATATCTCCTGGGACTGCAAATTCAGGGAAGTCCTTCCTTGGAAAACCCTCCTAGCAGAAGTTCCAAGTGTGCCAAGGAACTGAGCAATCAAGGAGGGGAGGGAAGGAAGGAATTCCCAGTTCCCCGTGTACGGGAGGGAACCTGACAGGGAGATGAATGTCCTGAAGAAAGCATCCTTTCCGCTTGACAGACCCTGGGGCCTGTCCTGACTCAACCACTCTCTCACTGTGTGACCTTGGGCAATTCCCCTCACCTCTCTGAGCCTCGGTTTTCCCATCTCTAAGTGGAGATCAAAATAACCTTTCCCTGTTTACCGGGACTCCACCCAGATCAGTAGCAAAAGGTAAGGGGTATGAAGGGGGCATGAACGATACAGAGCAAATTCCATCTAACATGGAGAAGCAGAAGGGTGTGGGAGGTCCTGGTCTCCCCAAAGCAGAGACCCTGAGAATGGCTTCGGAAACCCCTCCCCCTGGAGCAATCCCATTCATGCGTCATGTCCCAGAAAGGCCCTCCCTGGTTATCTGTCCGACGCCACACAGTCTTCACTCAGCTCTCTGACCTCTGTGCAGACCTGCCCCAGCCACGGGCACACAGTGCCTAGCATTGGTGCTCCAGGCCCCTTGAGAGATGCAGCCCTGCAGGGGAGGGATGGGGAGGAAGAGTCTCCTCTGGGTTCATCCGTGTGCTGTCCCCTCCACCTGAGCCTGGTTCAGAGGGACAGGGGAGCCCCCAGAGCTGCCAGCCTCAGACCGCCCAACTCTGTTGCCAACTTGGGCTCCTCTGGGGTGAGCAGGAGCTTCTGACACTTGAGCAAGCAGTGCTGGGGACGTCTGCTTGCTCCCAGCTCCCACAGTGGCTGGAGTTGAGGTCTCCCAGTCTCAGACCTCTGGGGCCAGGACTGGGGATGGGGGCACCTTGTGGAAGGATGGCAGGGGGCTTCTGCTGCCCCAGAGACAGACAAAAGCAGCAGGAATTCCCCTCCCACCCCCTGCCTCTGGCTGGAAGCAGCAACCTTAACTACTCCAGTGTCTTCAGGGAGCTATCAGGAGGCTTCATGCCTGAGATGTCACCCACCTGAAGGGGGAGGCTGCCCTCAGGCTAGCAGGTCTCAGAAGACCAGTCCCTTAGGTCTATAAGGGGTAGGGTAGGATGGAGAGGGAGGGGACAAGAGCAGCTCGAGGTGAAGCCTTCAAAGGGGAAAGGCAGGTAGGCACAGAGGGGTGGATGGGCAAAGTGCGTGAACAAGTGTGTGTGTGTGTGTGTGTGTGTGTCCCCGTGTGTCTCCAAGCAGACAGGCAAGAGTTGTGGCAAAGCACGGTGCCTGGGTGCCAGCTGGCAGGGTGTGAGCCCACCGGCGCAGCGCCTGATGTGTGTAGTGGGCATAAGTATTTATGAGAGAGGAGGGAGAGGGGCATGCGGAGCCGTGGAAGGGCAGTCAGTTGTGGGTGTGATGTGGCCGCGAGTGTGTCCGTGGCTGTGAATATCTGTGGGGTCGTGGAGGTGTATGTATTCGTGTGTGCGCGTGTGTGCGTGTGTGTGTGTGTGTGTGTGTGTGTGTGTCGGGGGGCGTTTTCTCCGCGACAGTGGCAGTGGGGGTGCGCTCCGGGTGCCCCCTCCTCCGCAGGGCTGGCCAGGATGCCAGGGCGGGTCCACAGACCCAGCAGGGGGAGCTCTGGGACTCCCGCCACCGCCGGCGCGGGTTCCAGCCCCGGGGCGGCCAAGTTGGAGGCGCGCAGCCCCGGGTGGGGTTTGCTGGGGAAGTCCGTGGGGGCGGCGACCGAACTCACCGTGGCCGGAGACGTGGTTGTCCCAGGGCGCGTGGCCGGCGGGCCGCGTGGCACCGCCGAGTTGCAGGAAAAGTGCCAGGTAGTGGAGGGCGCCCAGCGCCACGGCGAGCGGGGCCCCCATGGTGCGCGCTCGGGCCGGGGGCGCCGCCGCCTCACATCGGGGCTCAGGAGCCCTAGAGCCCGCGCCCGCTGTCCCCTGCCCTGCGCGGCCTGGCTGTTCGGCTCCCGCCGCTGCCCCTGCCAGCTGGCCCCGGCCCGGCCCGGGTCCCGGCTCTCGCCCGGCTCTGGCCCAGCCCTGGCTGCGGGTAGCGAGCGCACGCCCAGCCGGCCGCCTCCGACTGCGGGACTCTTCCCTTGCGCGGAAGGCCACTCCGCTCGCGCCGCCGCGCCGCACCCCCTCCTCCCACTCGCTCCCGCCCGCCCCGAGGAGGCGGCGGCGGAGGGATCTGCCGCTTGATTTATCATCAAAGTTTTGCCCAGGCTGGGATTTTTAAAGCGGTACTCTCAACTTTCCCCCGCCCGGGAGCGGGGGTGGGGGCGCGATCCGGAGGAGGAAGCACCCCGGGGACCTGGTTCCCGCAAAGCATAACACAGCAGGATTCAGAAATGAAAATACTATCCAGCAGGAGCAGGAGAAAAATCATTCCCTCTGCCGCCAGAGCCGGCGCGCTCAGAGAGATTCCTTAACTTTGCCAGCTCGCTGGTGCCAGGGTCAGGGGCAGACGGGGCTGCAGGTGGGCGAGGTAGGACCGAGACCCAGGAGACCCGGTTACAGCTCTGCCGCGACCTTTGGCTCCGTGTGTGAGCATGTCTGGATGTCCACCTCTGAATGAACCTCAGGGACTTCATCTGAGAAATGGGGACAAGAATAGCTGCCTCCAGGGGTCGGGGGAGGATTTGAGAAATCAGATAAAGCATAATATTGCTTACATGCCGCCGCCATAGTTACCACTGTTGTTTTGGACTCTGGGACTTAGTTTTCAAGCCTACATAATGGGAGTGAGGCACAGTTAGCGGTTTCCTTCTAGCTTAGAGGTGCTGGGCCGCCTACGCAGTGAATTGGATCTCCCCCTTCTGGGTTGTAAGGCTCCCTTCCCTGGACTGATGAGCCTAGCTGGGGTGTGTGCGCGTGCATCTGGGTCGGGGGATGGAGGTACTCCCATTCCTAAGAGCAGGCAGCCACTGAGATCCCCTGATTCCTTCCTCGTACAGACCCTGAGTAAAGAGAGAAGGGAGAGCTGTGTTCCTCTTAAAAGGTAAGGAAGCACTTTGAATCAGAGAAGGAGCCTCTTCGAGGTCCCAGGAGAGAGCTGGCGCAGGGCGTCTCCTGCCCCTGATCTTTGCCCTTCCTCAGCCCTCGAGCGCCTTGTTCCAGCGTCATGCCAAAGCCAGACGTCTATGCAGCACAAGGACGGTTCCCCGTCTGGCTCTGTGATGCGAGAGTTCAGCACCGTGGACAGACTCTCCCATGTCCTTTCCTTCTCCCGCCGAAGGGCGACCCAGATGGCGGGCCGGCTCCCGGCTCCAGACCACAGGTTGATCCACGATCGTGCATTGTGGACAGCGCCCTGAGTTCGAGAACGCGGTTAGAGCCTGCAGGACACAACGCCCCTCGCCGTCTTTCCTCTGACTTCGCAACCCTCTCTTTCCAATATCATGGTGGACAACACACTTGGCGGGGCCTGTGGTCGCCAGCAGCAATTCAGCTCTTTCAAAATTAAGGACACCGCCCCTCCAAGAGTCGCGCTCCTATGAGCACTGTTTCAGCACCACGGACAGCTGTCACCGCCTCGGCCCACAGGCTCTCCCTTCAGCACCACGGATAGATCCCGCCATTGCCCCCGCCGCTTCGGGACTCCATTCATTGGAGGGAGGAGCCGTTTTGTGCCCAGTGACTTCTAATCGTCTTCTCGCAGAGAAGTGGTAGTTCGGTCATCCTGGGTTGGACAGGCGCCTTGGACTCTACAAAGTGCTCATTCATTCGCTTGAACTTCCCTGTCACTCATTGTAAAGACGAGGAAACAGAGAATCTTCAAGTCACCTCCTAGTGCCAAGACTGAAACCCAGGATCCTTCCAACTCTAGCCCGAGGCCTCTCCAGGAGCCTGGTGACAACTGGGCTTGAAACCCAGGGCTTAGTCTTCTACTTTGGGCCTGCAGGGGGAGAAGGTCAGGGTCAACGGCAGCACACTGCTGCTCTGCTACTGACCTAGTGGACGACCTCCAGGGATCTTTCTCTCCTCTGAGTCTAGAACAAAGTTAAACATTGTAGCCTCTAAGGTTCCTTCAAGGACAATCTTCGAGGGACTATATGACTTTGGAAAGGCTGTGATGTAATGGCTCTTTCCCCTGCCAGCCATGTTTGTTTGTGAGATGGTGACCTCTCTTGTTTGTGTGCAGTCTCAGCCTCACCTCTTGTTCAGCCCTGGGCTCCAGGCTCTGCTCCCTCCTTCAGCACGATTATCTTCAGTATGTCCTTCCCTTCTCATTGCTCCTCCTGTGAGGGCCTCCCCCCTGTCTAGCTGCCTCTCCCTTTGGCAAAGGTCCATCCATCCTGAGTGCCACGCAGAAGAAATGTCTGCTGCCTTCTTCCCGGTCCCAAGCCTCCATTCCATCGCTGTGAACCCAGCACCATGCTAAGAACTTTAATTATCCCACTTAATCCTCAGGACAATTAGGCCACATGGAGTAGGACATGTTGTCATAGGTGTGATCTCTAGAGCCTTACTCTGAGTTCCGAATGCTGCTATGTTACCCTAGACATTAAGGTAACATAGCTTAAGGTAGCACTTACTAGCTGTGTTACCTTAGAAAATTTGCTTGGGCTTTCTGTGTCTCAATTTCCTCATCTGTAAAATAAGAATAACAATACCACCTTCACAAGATTATTGTGAGGATTAAATGAGTGGCTACATGGAAAGCACTTAGAACAGTTCCTGGCCCGTGGCAAATCCATGATGTCCTCATAATCTACAGATAAGGAAATAGAAGCTCAGAAAGGTTGTATCTTGCCCAAAGTAAGGCGATGATAAGGCAATGATGTTTTAGATGTTCCAGAGCCCATGTTATCAGGCCTAATAGCTGAGTACCTCTTATTCATGCCCCTCCCATGGTAGCTTAGAAAAGTAAGACCCAGAGATGGTGAGGGACCTCCTCAGAGTCACACAGCCAACCATACCAGAACTAGACCCTCGTTCTCTGTCTCTGATCTAGGGTTCTCATAATACCATACTGTACCATTTGTATTTTCTACAGCATCATCTAACCTGCAATTTACAGTTTACAAATCACATTCACATCCACGATCCCACATAATGCATACAACAACCCTTGAGACCAATATTATCGCCTTCCTTCTTTTAGAGGTAAGGAAAGGGGAGCTCGGGAGAGGAGGTAACCTGCGCAAGTTTCCACAGCAAGGCGCGGATGTGAAAGGACAAATCTTCACCCCGTGCTCCTGGCCTGTGTAATCCTCTCATCCAAATGCAACCTGCAGACACCGTGGAAACTCGAGAGTCGTGGATGCGGAAGGTAACCAGAGGCTGTCCCAGGAAACTGTGTGTGGGAATTCATGGGGGTGGCTGCCTCTAATCCCTCGGGAATGCTCTGGGAGAGAGTAAGCCTCCTGTCCCTGGAGGCAACTCACAAGCATCCAGCGGTCACACGGGTACCATGAGGCGAATATCACGGCTGTTCCCTTACACAAATGAGGCTCTGAGGGCAACACCAAGTCATGTACTTCAGCTGACGAAGATGACAATTCCAAGTTGTCCCAAGCAGGGGCTCTGGCCCGGGTCCTTACTTTGGAGCACAGCTCCCTGGAGAGTCCCCACCCTCCCGTTGACTGTGGGAGGCCGCCCCTCCCTCCCCTCCTTGAGAGGTGTCATTTGAGCCCTGTGACTGTGTCAGTGGTAACAGCCGTAAGATTTGTCCTTTTAATCCAGAATCAATAACAAATTTCATTTAAAAATAAATTAAACCAGGCATTGGAAATCATTCACCGTGTGGGCCCGGGCCCTATAGAGCACCGTCTAAATGGCTTCCTTTCTATCATCTATCAATGCCAGGAGGGGGAAACACCTGAGCTGCCTGATTCATGGAGAAAGTACTTAAATGTATCAGCCCCTAACAATGAGCAATGGAAGCCCAGAGTCGCACCTTTTAACACACCAATAACATGTGGAGCGAGGCTCCATGAGAGCTTATCGGGGATCCCATGGTCACTGGCTTCGAGGGAGCCCATTTATAAGGGGGAACAATGGCTTTAGTATGTAGCTGCCTAATTTCCAGAATGCATTACTGAGCTCCGAGGAGTAATGGAATTCTATTAAAGTCTTATCTGCCACAGGAGGGTATGAAACCGGCAGGGAAATCCAGACTTGGCACAGACAGGCCCAGAGAGCACCAGGGCTGACCCCAGAAGGTGGGGGAACAAGCCCAGAGGGAAGGGGGGGCAGGCGGGGCCCCGGATGTGTGAAAATATGTGCATTAATAGGGCTCTGGTTTCCAACGATTACGTTTACATCAGCGAATAAAACCTGGCAATAAAACATCAGAACTGCATCTCAGACAGCATTCCCTTTTACAGCCTGGAGTATTTCACTCATTATAACAGGAGGCAGGGAGCGTGAGGTGTCCCCATTTCTCCCCCTTTAATTAAATTTCCTAAATTACTGCCCAAGATTTGGATAAAGCAAAAGACTTACAGCTCCACTAATCGTCATCGAGGCTCCCCGGCCCCTCACAGTGGTGGCCCTGACTGTACCAGGTTCCAACATTATTAAAGTGAAATACTGTGGGTCTGGCCTGCCTGGGCTCTAGTTGGTAAAAGGAGATTCAGTCTCGGGAGGGAAATTGGCTCCAGAAACGGTGTCGCCGTCCCCTTTCTATGTGAGCTTGATCTTGAACTTCTCCTGTCTGAGCCTCCCAACGTCTCCTTCTCCCCAGACAGTGATCTTAAGGGGCTGAGAATTGATCTGAGGCTGGACCAATTCTGGGGTACATCTGTGAGAACTTGGGGAGCTCTATAAAAATGATTAATGCCCAGGCCACACCAGAGAGATTTTTTTTTGGGGGGGTATCAAGGCTTGAACTCAGGGGCACTCAACCACTGAGCCCCCATCCCCAGCCCTATTTTGTATTTTATTTATAGAGAGGATCTCA